GAAGACTGGAAGGTATGACTGTGTACTTCGGCCACTTACTCTCCTTGCCTAGCTGTAGTGCCGGTAGCCGTTACTGACCGGTCATAGAGGGGAGCTGACGATTGTGGAGAGCTAACCATGGACGATTGGGGAAGCCAACCAATGAAGGTGATGACTGAAGACTGGAAGGTATGACTGTGTACTTCGTCCACTTACTCTCCATGCCTAGCTGTAGTGCCGGTGACCGTTACCGGCCGGTCAAAGAGGAAGCTGTCGATTGTGGAGAACCAACCATGGACGAATGATGAAGGCAACGAACGAAGACCCAGATGGAATACGTAAAGGGAATACTACATACCTCGTTTATTTACTGTCCATGCCTACCTCCAGTAAAGGTACCATTGTCTTCTGGTGATGAGGGAATCTCTTCCGAAGATTCATGGGCAGGTGGACAAGGAGTTACCGCATGTAACTGGAAGCGTGTAATCGCGTACCCTTTTTATTGTAAACCAAACTGTTGTATATTACTGTTGTGGCAAACCGGCGGCCCAAGGCAGTCGGGGACGATTTCCCCTACCTCGCCAGTCCCCCTACCTGGCCAGTGTATTGTACCTTTTAATAATTCAGAGTAAATATTTCATATGTCCATGTAGTTGTTTGTGATTACGGTACTGCGAAGCCTCCGGAATGAGGTAAGGTGTGGTAAGCAGTTGAATAACTGTCATCCAAAGGGCTGCGTTAGCTGATAGGTGCCTATGGATCACTAATGGGGGAATTGAACGGACGTTGTCTGTTGGATGGGTGGCTGTCTCTAGCAGTGGTAACGTAGCCATCATATAACGGTAAGGATTGCGACTAATCGACCAACCTTGGAGGCTTGGTACGTAAGCATATTTACGTACGTAGAATAATGCAATGACGTCCACTAAGCCTCGTCGATAAACCCTTGTAGGTCAGGAAGGAAGTGATTACGGAAGGCCTTTAGGGCGGGAACTGGGAGATACGTAGAGACTGTCTGAGGCCGCTGCCGGCCACGGTAGACGATAAGTAGGAATAGCTGTAGCTGGTAACGAGCGACATGACCCACCCGCAGGGAAGGGCATATCAGGTCAACTAACGAAGCCGGTTGGGAGGGACAGTAGACTGTGAAGCAGGCGGAAATGGAAACAGCCGATGAAGGAATTGTCGATTGCGGTAAGTTTGCGTAAAAGGGAGCGGTACTGCGGGAAATGATATCGGCACGGCGTAGATTACAGGCCTTCGGATGGGGGGAAAGGGAAAGGCGTGGGCTAGGCGGTAGAGGTGTATGTAAATACGGCAGTGGTCTAAGAGCCGAATGCCTGTGGTAGCAGCTACCCCAAAGTGACAGACGTATGTTTGGACGGCGTAGGCTGTTAGCCTTTTAGTTTCGGGGGGGAGGGGTGGGTGTTGCAGAATATGCCATGGAGGCCACAGGTCTTCCATTACGGCTACCTTACGTACTATTGTTTGTTCAGTAGGTGTGCTTGTGGTATTTTCTTTTGCCGCGGCGGCAAAAGAAAATACCACAAGCACACCTACTGAACAAACAATAGTACGTAAGGTAGCCGTAATGGAAGACCTGTGGCCGCTTATTTGGCACCGGTCTGCTTTCATTTCATTGCCTTATTCGTCACTTTGAGCGAGATAAAATTAAAACAGATTAGAATTGAATTTGATCGGCTAATGTCGTTATAAGGGGGCTGCCAAATCAGGTGGTCTATTTATCCTGACTATGCTAATGCTACATCAAATTAGACACGGCGACATCCTGCAAATTTCAACTATTTTCGGACACGATGAACAAAAAAGCCTTACTATCCAACCGCACGGCAGAAGTCGGCCCCGAGAGTGGCTCACGAGAATGCCGTTCTCCGAATAAGTTTCTTTTCGGCCACATCAAAAACTGCATTTGACAAAAGGTGGCCACGCAAGAAATAATTTATTTCCCAGTGAATTTCGATGAAGAAAATGCATTATTTATTTTTAAGCATTACTTTAATGCTTCACTTCTGAGTTTTTAAGATCCTGAATTTTTCATTCATTCAAAATCGCATTTCTACGTTTAATAATGCCGTCTATGATATAAGCATCACAGTCATGCACCCATTACAAAATCTATGAGCCCTAAACAGTATGGTTGTACTTACCTGTGAAAATGAACAGTGTTATTAAAAGAACAAAATGCAGCGTGTCATTTGCAAACCTACGCATAAGCGCAACTGCACGCCAGCTTCAAAAAAATCCGAAGAATCAAAATCAGAAATCAGAAAATTAACAACTCTCTTATCTTTTAGTATAAAATTAGGTGTAATTCATACTTTCCACTAAAAGAGTACGATAGATAATGTGTTTGCATCATTTCTCTAGAATATGCCAGAGTTTTTGAAGACAGCGTAAGCACATGGAAAATACACATATACTAGTGGCGTAGCCATCTTTTACCGAGTGTCATTTCCGCAGGCGATAGGAATGAAGCTTCTACATCGTCATCGGGGCTATGGTAGAGAGATGCGATTTCAGCGGCCGGTTATTACGCAGACTGAGCAGAATGATTTTGCCGAATAATTGTACTAATACCGAAAAAGGGAAATCATATTCAAACCCTATACTTATTAATGTTTATTTGAAGAAGGCCATGAACAACACGTATGCCATTAAGAAAACGCCATACGAGGCAGTGAATGTGGGCCCTGATACAGATACGATATCGTCCTGAAGTATCTTTCAAACCTTCTAAACCGTTGTAACTAAATAATGTGATTTGCCATTTTCGTACTTCATCCGGAAGAGATTTACTGTAGCGTCGATGAATTTCCTAAGAGCATTGCGTTAAGTGTGGTAATACTAATACGCGACCATCAAACCGAGGATATATGATCTTGGTAGAGAAATTGAAGAACCGGTCACACTGGATCCAGCATTGTCCGTAAATGTCGCGCATGCTTAACGGCAATTTTGCCATATTTTCTGTCAATCCTCAATAAAATGGGTTTAGGACCTGGTCGGAAGTATGTATGATACCTTTAAAAAGCAGCAGTGGATGGGTTTAAAAAGGCTATCTAACAGCAGCGAAAACCGTAAGTGGGTTTCAGTTCTGCTGCTGTCTTTACTAGGGGTTTGGGTTTGACTTGCGGGAGCTGAGTATAACACGCTGATGACGGGAAATTCTTAAAGAGTATGCGGGAGAATGCGTGCTTTATCCCCTCCAGTGACTGTAGAAGCCCTTCTTCTAGAGATTTCACGTCCATCGCTGACAAGGAACGGTTTTGAATAGCCACCAATGTTTTCGAAAAGTGAAATGATATACTGAGTATGCCGGAATGAGAGAAACAGCAAGTGACAGATAACAGTTGTAAAAAAGTTGTTTACTTTCGAGACGGAAATCCTTTGGATGTGAAATACCCGACAAATCATCATTTGAAATTTTCTCCTAAATAGACATTCCCGCGAATTCTAGCCAAAGCCATATTTATGTATAATTGCATACATGCTGTAAATAACCGGGCTGTGCTAATATCAATGGTTAATCAGAGAAAATATTCTTACTTAGAGTTGATCGCTGAATTGTTAATGTTCACTTTGCCCATTTCAACTACTTAAGACAGAGGACCCTCAGTCAAATTAAGGTCGTCGGTAGTCACTGAGACTAGCGGTCCCTCTCCCATTCTACGTTATATAACCGACGGTCCACAAGTAAGCACAACTTCAATATATTATTAAGAATCATGCACTTTGTAGTGTATATCTGTTGCGAAAATCTATTATGTTCTATGCAGCAAAGTATTTTATACTAAATAGCGAATGTGAAGAACTAGATATAAAATAGGATGCAAAAGGAAATAAACGCAGCATGAACTTGTGTTGCAGGCAACGGCAGAACAGTTAGTGATAAATTACAGTCAATCCCCGAGGATCTTGTTCGCGCGTGGATGAGAAGTGTAAATGAATAAGAAGGTTTACAAAGTGACATGGACTTTAGTCGGGAGCTTATAAGATGCCGAACTCGAAATATATTCGCCTGTATAGATAAAAAGTGGCAGTTATGAAATCCAAAAGGACATCGAAGGGCATGTTTGCAAGTAGGAGCACTGAGGAAGTAGGCGCAAAAATAGAAACCATTTGCATGTACATGCGCATTACGGTCATGTTCTCGAGGGAAACATTTAGAATACAGATATGCTATCAGTTATCTTCCATTTAAGTGGAGGTTGGATTTTCGTCGATTACCCTACAAGGAACAGCAGGATTAGGCAATGGCGTTAAGGGGATCCGTTCAAATAAACAGGCATTTTATGGAGGTCAGTGCGTCGTGCAAATGTCTGTACGCATTCATAAAAGGCGAATATATTGAAGCAAAAGCAGAAACTTATAAATGAGCGATCAAATTCATAATCCCTTCAGCGGAGACCGGGGGATCTAAATGGACTATCGCGGACTGTCAGAGTTGCTAGACTTGTGAAGGCAGCTTTAAGTAATTAGACTTGAGCAGCACGGGAAACACGGACGTTGAGATATCAGGGCCTCACCAACGCCGCCATTTTAACATATGGGTCGTCTACCTTACTTGACAGTTAAACATACAAATGGAGATGTATCGTGCTTGCAGTATGCCACCATTATGGTTTGGAAAAAACATCTGCTGGGATGTGCATCAGATGTAAACACAGGCCTTCCCTGAATGAGTCCATATTATGGTAATAAATGAGACACGCGTGATATTTAAGCTTCTTTTCTCATTTTTAGTCAGTATATCTTGATGGAATAAAATTGAACATTATGAATGGAGCATGCTTCATACTTGGTGACAAAGTTGGGGAACCGTGCTCCGTTACAGATGGTATGCACTCTTTGCAAATTTATTAATAATGATCTCTAAATGCTAAGGATTTCTCACGAGCCTCTTCCACCACATTAGCGTCAACTATATTTTTTATGCTTATGAGAGTTAACACAATGCGCAATAATCTATGAACACTGAAAAATACAAATGTTCTCATTAGTATTTCCCTCTGCTAAATAGTTGTAATTTTTTGTCTGAACATCATTTCGTTTGATGACTGAAATTATTTGTAAGGCAAGTGTTCGCAACACTCGACGGTCGGGTATGCCCTAAGCTAGTAAATGTATAAAATAACGGGCAGAGATTCGTACGCCCTTCTAGCTTTCTGAAATGGTAAAGCGATGTGTGAATGATTGCCTTTAGTGAGCAATCGCTGGGACAAGTAAAGCTAGACAGACTATTCAACCAAATCACTTACTACGGATGCTTGCGTTTTGTCGAATACTTCTCTCAATAAAAGCTTAATTATTTCGTGAATAACAAATTCCAATTCAACTTTTAGATTCTGAAGGAGTTTTAACGGAAATAAGGCTTTCCTCCGTGACCAATCATGTGCAGTTATACATAGAAGGCGACTCTTATTACAGCACATTTTTTGCTCCCAACTGCGTCTTTCCATCACCCAAGACAGGTAAGGCCAACCCTTTGTCATTAAGTCTGTCGCTCTTGCTCAACATTGGCCTGAATTCTGAGTAATGTGAAATTTAAGCAAACCGAAAGCGGAACGTGCGGCTATAGTAGTTTTGTTGTTTAAACTATGAATTAAAGTCCTAATTAGCATTAAACATATTCGTTGTTATTGCAGGGACCGTTATGCCAAAGGCATCATTACCGCTCTCCCGGTTTATGGGGGGACACAACGAAGTCAACATCACATTTGCTGCATTTGTGGGCCAGACCAATTTTACGGTAAGTACATATATCCCAGTTAAATAACTGTCGGGGTTAAAATTACAAACCATAGTGAATTTCTTCAAAAGAAAAAAACAATGGGCCGAAGTGATTTAATACGAATGATTAATGTAAAATAGCACAGTTGAATCGTGATATCTGTGGAACACCTTCTATATCAGTTAGCAAAGAGATGTAACAGGTTTTGACAAATCCGTTTCCGACGCTTGGCATGATAACGCAATCGGAAGCGCTGATCAGCGAATCTTTTGCAGGGTTCTAGCATATCGTTATTGTTTAGTGTGCTTTAAGACTCTTCGATCATTCTGCGTTTACTCGAATGTAAGTTTTACACATGTTTACCATGTTTTACTGTAAATGTGACTCTATCCAGCAGATGTATTTTGGAAGTCGACATACTTACAAGATGTTGGCGTCAAATATTTCCTCGGCGTCGACCCCTCGGCTTCAGATAATCTGGAGTATTAGTCTTTAAGCTGCGTAGACAATTTACCACCTGAATGATACAGATGTTGAAATCTAACCCAATGACCACTTACACTGGCAATGAAATTTGGAGAAGATATTTAGGAAATTAGCCAGTACGTAAATAAACATGAGACCACTAAGATGTTAGGACGTTCCCTGATGTTCGGAATGATAATTTTAGTATCTTTCCGTGAACAAAACATTTACAGCGGTTTGCAGAAACCTATCAAATTAAAGTGGCCGCGGGGAGGGATTGATTATGTAGGCCCACTGAGAAAACATGACACACTTCCGAAATATGGGAGGGGTGTCAATATAAGTTTCCTCATCAGGGAACATGGACGCATCAATTATGGGAATTGGTGGAGGGAAATAAAAAAAATTGTGTTTCTGCCACATACTTGTTTTATAACTCAAATGAAGTATTGGAACAAGCAGATGCGAACTATAGTCGGTTAAGCTGGCGGAAAACAGGTGGTCCGAAGTAACCGGGTAGAGAACGTCGGACTGGGTTAGATAGTTTGTGGCAAGCAAACTTGGCCATCAACCTAACTTAAACTCTAACCTCAACCCTAACGCTTTGCCTAGCCCTCATATTTAGGCCAACCATATAAACTAACTCGGCCAAATCACAAAGTAAAAACCCGATCCAGCGCCCAAATCAAACCAGAACATTCGAGTAAATCGTAGCATTAATCCGAACTTAAGGTAGTAAGCCTAACCGCAAAATCCAGGCGCCAGAATTAACTCGTAACCCTTAATATCAGCCTAGGCGTAAACCCCAATGTCAAATCTAAAACACAATCTTGACCAAAAAGCCTTACCGCAAAATTGATACTGGCGTATCATGCATGCCTAAATCAAATAAGCAGGCATGCCATGATAATATATTTTGAGGCTTACATATTCAATTATTACCGTGTGAGTTAAAGTAAATTACCGTACATTTAGGCAGTCGTGCGGCGTACATTGTCCAATATTTGTTTAATAAGAACGTCAACCTCAGTCTGACAGAGACCTACTGATCCTTAAATTCAGATAAGGTTGTACGATGGACCTTCATTGCGCTGCCTATTCGCTAACACACTGACCGCAGAACAGGATCCACAATTCTGCCGTACGTTTACCTGTTGCGGATATTTATTGCCAAGACAGTCGTAGAAAACCTTGCATCCACCTTTGCTTTGTAACTGAACATTGAAGTACAAATAGTAAAACAATGGTCAAAACATGTTTGGCAAAATATTTCAGTTGATAATTAGAAAAGCAGATTTGAGATTAAATTCTTAGCAAATATCTTTTGGATTTTTGAAAGCTTTTTTCTACATTCATATATATATTAAACATTTGACTGATTTCCATCAAGACTCTTTCCTGAAGAAAAAGACACGATGGCCGGGACAAGAGCTTTATTAGCCTGACGTTTCGGATTCCTACTCGAATCCATCATCAGAGACAAAAAACAGAAACGGGTGGTTGCTGCACAAGGGGCTGCGGTATTTATAGGATGCAGTAGCCATGCTACCGCATACCTATGAACATTCACGCCCCCCCCTTCATCCGGGATCGGCGCACTTGGTGTGATCATTGCTTGATGGCCGACATTTGAGTCGATAATTGCTGCAATTTCATCAAGTGTGTTGGATGTTGGCGTGATGAGTGCTCGACCATCTGACGCACCGACCCCGGTGTTGGGAAAAGTGTTCAACTCTGCGCTCCCCGCATGGCTTGTTACCCCGCCTAGGCGAACTTTCAGTACGGAGTATGGAATGGGGGGGCAGTAAACCATGATTCCAGTAGCTCCCGGCTCACTCGGTTGTCACCTCTTGCGAGAATTTCGGCCTCATCGAATTTGAATGTGTGGCCGAATCTCGTCGAATGAGCCACAACTTGAGAGCTGGCGTCATTTCTGCGCACCGCTGCCGCGTGTTCGGCCATTCTTGTTCGGAGATGTCTTCCGGTTTCTTCGACGTAGTTGCTTTGTCCGCAACTGCAACAGATCCGATAAACCACTCCAGACGTTTCTAGTCGTGGCAGTGGGTCTTTCGGTTTCATGACCAGACGCCTGATGGCTGCCTCCGGTCTGTGTGCCACTCCAAGCCCAAGTGGTGCGAGAAGGCGGCCGACAGTTTCCGAAACGTTCTTGACATACGGAAGTACCCGCCAAGATTTGGTGTCCGTGCGGTTAGGCCTTTCGTCCCTTTTGCGTATGCACCGGTCGACGAAGTTGCGCCGGTATCCATTGGCTTTGAAGACCCGTCGGAGGTATTGTAGTTCGGCAATTTTGTTTTCCGGCTCACTGCAGTGCGTTTCGACACGCCGATAGAGCGTCCTTACACAACTGCGTTTGTGGCTGATTGGGTGGTTACTGTTGAAGTTCAGTACTTGCATCGTATTTGTCGCTTTCCTGAACACTTTGGTTTTTAGTTCACCAGAATCTTTGCGGCATACGCGGACATCCAGGAGGGCCAGCTGGTTGTCCTCTTCCTCCTCCATCGTAAATAGAATGTCCGGGAAGACGGCGTTGGGATGTGGTGTTCTCCGTTTCATCGTATTTGCTTTGTAGTAGCAGCTCAATTGTCTCGATCGCCTGTTCCTGGGGAATAGAAGTAAATAGTGATGTAACATCAAAAGATACCATGACCTCATTTGGATGGAGGCCTACCCCTTTGAGTTTCTCCAGGAATTGTGCTGACGAAGAGACCGTGGTGTCTGACTCAGCGGTCAGGAACTTGAGACGCCGGAACAGCCACTTGGCCAGTCCGTACGTTGGAGTCCCTTTGAGCGACACGATGGGTCGGAGAGGAGCGCCGTCTTTGTGCACCTTAGGGAGGCCATAGAATAGGGCCAAAGCCGTATCTTGGGGTCTCGCCATGCGTCTGTCGGTCGGTGTGATTGCACCTGAATTCTCCAAGGCCAACATCGTAGCATTAATTTCGCGTGTCAGCGCCTTTAAAGGGTTTGTTGCGCATGGGACATAGAACTGTCGGTCCTCCAGTAAACCTTTGGCCTTTTGAAGGTAGTCTGTCCTGTCCAGTACAACTGTGGCGCGTCCTTTGTCCGCTGGCACGAGGACAGGTCTTTGTCGGCCTTGAGTTCTCTAAGCGCATCACGTTTGACCTTGGCAAACACTTCCCGCGGCCTTTGGGCCATCCGGAGAGACGACACTTGGTGTCGAATGAGGTTCTTAGTCTCCGCCGTTGCCTCCGTCTGACTAAGGATTGATTCCAGTGCTGCAGTCATGTTAAGCGGTTTGGTGTCAGCCGTGTTAAATGAAGCTTCGGGCCGTAAAACCTGCATGTGATCCTTCGTCAGCTCTTTTGATGACAGGTTGTGCACGCGTATGTCGTTTCTGGGCGAAGTTGGATTGGGCAGCTTTCGAAATTTGTTCTCCAGTGCTGCGTCGCGCATCATGCTCTGTTCGCGGGCTTGTTCAGCTATCCTCCGCAGGAGCATATCCGTAACGATCTTACCCATGAACTCACAGAATCTTGTCTTTGCTTGGTCAATCCTTTGACGGTACTTACGAAATTTCGCGTGGCAATATTGGAGGAGCACTCAGATCATCCTTCTGCCGTGCTGAAATACTGCTCGTCTCGCCAAATCCGCGTTAACCGGTGGCTTGTATGAAACACATTTCGGCAACATTTCGTCTCTCGACAAGACCGAATTCGCCAATCAAGGACAATAAAAGCAAATGGGTGCGGGATACATTGTCACCAGAACTTTATGTCCGAGGGCAGAAGAATACTAATCTGAAGTCAATTTTACTATCAAAAAGGACAACGTAAGCCGATTCTCCTTTCCGCTACGGAGACTCTGCGACCGACGTAATAGTATTAAGCTCACAATCTGCGGAATGAAATTTATCACAGTGGTTATCATATATGTCCTACCCCTCCTTCAAGTGACGAGGTACGTGATGTGAATGGCGATTTGCGTGGAGATTAGCATGTCCTTCTTGCGTTTCTATTCATGTCAGACGAATTGGTTTCCCTTGCTGACCTCGGCATCCCAGCAGACACGCATCACGCTATGCGAGTACAACAGCCGGTTCTTCGCACTGACGGTAGTTACAGCTTTTATAGTCCGCTTCTGCCGCAGGCGTGCACATAACAAGACAAGACAGTTCGACCGTAACGAACGACGAGGTTCACTGCGCAGCCATCCGGGATGATTGAAGGACGGTAACTTCCTCGCAAATTAGTTTATAGTGAGGATGACCTGGCAGCATCCATTGCGCTCTTTAATTTATTCATCGACCTAGCGCCGATGGTCAGACCGTGCCGGGATGACTAGAGATCGTTTTGTGCAAAATGGTGGTCAAAGCTGAGAAAAGACGATAAAGTTATAAGACAATCAGAACTGTTGTCATTTTGGATATTGAAAATTTCACGCATCAATCTAAAGCAGACATGATAGCTTTCACTCCTACTGCGGTGTTTTCTCGTGATGAAAACGAAAACTCTTCATTCCTAAATAAGTTGTGCGATGTGGCATTTCCATGAACCGCCTTATTTAAACTCAGCCTAACAAGGCCTCCATGATATCTTCTGACAGAAATACTTAATTGTTTGTTTAATGTACCCACCTGTCAGTTGCCGTGTACATTAAAATTTTTATGCGGATGAGAGAAGATTGAGTATGTAAAGCAAAATGATGACGTTAAATGTGCTGCTTAAGAAAAAACGTGGGAGCAGCATGGGGAATGACACAATATTACTTGCCTTTGGTATGTATACTATTCTGACGCAAGCCAAAATTAGAAAGTGACTATTCTCACGTTGTTCGGTCCAGTTTAGTTCAGTTTATTTGAGGGACACGTAGGTGTTGAATCTTTGACCTCCCTGTTTGTTACAAGGAAGCAAATTACGTGAGAAATTTGAAAATGGAAACATCAAACGGCTACAGACATCGTTCTGAAACCGAGCAGATAAACGCATTTTTCCTAGGGGTAGCAACACTACCATTACTGAATGCGCTTTACACTAGTCAATTTATGAATAATTGTGCCGATCTCAGTTATCTGAGGGAGACGAAGCAAATGCCAATGTTCACATTCAAAGGATTCGTGACACTTATCAACAAAAAATAGATTACTGAAATACAGACAGTAATGTTATAACGCAAATAAACTGCTAAAAGGGATCGCTAAGACGGTATCTGTCGGGTAACATTGTGTTGTGTGGTGGTATACCGATCCAACTTGCGCTTAAAAACTGCGAAGGATGTTGACATGACAAGTCTGCAGGCAGAACATTCCAATTTTCGACCACTCTGTTGGAAAAGAGGAATTTTCGTGTGGCCAGCCTGGCGCCAGTCACACTTAATTTGAATGGTTGACCTCGGAGTTTCGTGGTGGTTGCTAACTCAAAGAAATCAGCAGGTAAAAGACAACAGTCCTGACCGCGCATGATATGGTATGTTTGTATCAAGTCGCCTCTTAGCTGTCTGTACCTCAGAGGAAACTGACCGAGATTGGATAACCGTGTTTCGTTGGGTAGTGTGTCTTGTCCACTGAAGAGTTTGATTGGCCGCCTTTGAATATTCTCAAGGATGCCGACATCTTCAGCGGTCCACGGTTTGAACGATAAAATAGAGAACTCTAAGTGTGGCTGCACAAACGTCCCTCATTTAAGGTAGAGAAATTCCGCTAGACAATGTAAAGGGCTGACATCGCGGAATTGGCTACCTTGGAGAACCGTAGCGACGGTTTAAGCGAAGCCGTGACCAACATACACCCAAGTCTTTTGGTGTCTACCTTTGCAATGGTGGTCCATTAAGGTAGCAAACCCTGCTGTTAGGAGATCGGGTTCCACCGACTTGCAAAGCATTGCACATTGTCACATTAAATGGCAAAAGCCAGCCCTTTGACCATTCCCCCATTCAGGTCAGGGCTGCCTACAAGCTCTCTCCGCCACACTAAGTTCGGATGACGCTCCATAGCTTAATACCATCAGCGAACATGAAGACATCACAATTAAGTCCACTGACGCAGTCGTTGACGTATATAGCAAAAAAGGTAGGGCCATGGACGGAGCATTGAGGAACATCGCTTTCAACCACAACCTCCGCCGACTGCCTGTCACCGACGTGGACAATTTGAGAGCGACCGATCAAAAAGCTTTAAATCAACCTCAGACGATTATCTCTAATGCCTGTCCGGCTTAATTTGTACAGGGGGGCTGAGGTGGTACACCATCGAATGCTTTTTTTAAATCGACACAGACTGCGTGCACTACATAGCCGCCATCGACTGCCCGGGTCCAGCGTTCTAAACAATAAAGTAGGCTTGTCACGCAAGATCGCCTCTACGGAATCCTTGCTGTGCGTCGTATATCAAATTATGCTGTTTTTGGAAGCGCATCGTTTCTCGCTTAATTATTCTTTCTATAATTTTGCAGCAAATTAACGAAAGGTTGATAAGTCTGTAGCTGTTTGCGAAGACCTTACTGCCGCCTTCCTAAAGTGGTGTCATCCGTGCAGATTGCCAGTCGGAGAGCAAGTGACCAGCTCCAAACACTGCTTGGAAGAGCATGGACAGCGGTTTAGCTAGGTCTCTAACGAGCTTCTTCAACTATTTTGGCGGTATATAATCGGGCCCAGTTGATTTAGACTAATTCAGCGTCAATACATCTTTGCGAACAATGGCTTCGACGAAATAAACAGTCTCAATCGTTGACCCTCCCACTATATCGCAGTCGGGAGGAATAAATGCGGTTTTCCTCGTATAGACGGACTTAAAGCAATTTGGAAGTTGCTCTGCCTTTGCTTCATCTGAATTTAGCTGTAAGTCTTCATAGTTTTCACTAATGAGATTGGGTCACTGTTTTGTGTGCTACTTCTCAAATAACCATAGAATAAATTTGGATTTCCCTCAGGCCCGGTCCAGTAGGTTTTTCTTGAAAGCACGCCGTGTCCCGAGGACTAGTCTCTTAACTAGGTTCCTCTGTGCTTTGCAAGCATTTATTTCCACAGAGCTCCTATCCGACAGAAATCTCCTCCAAAGCCTCCGCTTTTGATTCACTTCGTTTTTAAAGCCTGTGTTAGCTACGTAGGTGTCAGTTGTGACAGCTTGAAAGCGTTCCATCTTCGCATAACCCTCTGAGAAAATAAATCAAACAATTATCCTATCTGACTTCATCTCAACAGCTTTCAAACAGGTTTTCAAACAATCAGTCCTTGCGCCAAGTGAAATCATCTATTCTACCATTCATGTCATAGTCAGTCAGTGCCTAGAAAACGGGCATTTAATTAGCCGTGCCCAGTCCGTAATTGAGAAGAAACAGGCCAAGAACCACTAACCGCTTTCCGTTCACATTTTTACGACGACTACTTTAATTTAATCCAGAATGCCTATGTGTTCCCAATTATGACCAAAATCGGAGCGGAACGTGCTGCGAAGGCAGACGAATAAAGTCTCCTACCATATCTCCTTAAAATGCTTTTGGTCTATGTTTAAGCAGGCACAGTGTATGGTTTAGTCAGACAGTCACAGTATCCAGCGGCAAGGACACGCCGTTCCCAGCATCGACTCTGGCGTGCCGGAAATATCGAATCCAACATCTAAATTAAAAGGAGCATTTTGCATTTTTGGTTACATTTTCGGAAGCAAATGATATTCACATTAGTCGTGTAATGGAAGATAACTGCTTACTTTTTAGCTGTAAATTTGCTTGCATGATTGTGACCAATGGTAGGATTGCTTTTATACGAGACAAAAAACATTAAATCAAACATTGACAGGTAGTTTACTAGTTTGAATATCATATACCGAATGTAGTGTCCGGAAATTATCGGGGGCGACTGGATATTCTTAAAACCACGTAAGAGGCCCTTATAAGATCCGACCTAAGTGAATGAATTCATCCAGATTTAGTTAGGGAATGTGACCGGCTTACAAAAACCAACGAGTCAAAAGTAGCCACTTGAGTCATCATTTTCATGTGCGGCTGCATGTGAGATCTCCTGGGAGACACACAGAAGTCAAACCGATTGATGCATACCGAGCGACAAGGAGGTCACATTAGTTAAAACATTTGTTGGCTGATTTACAAAACAATCCCCTGACTACGTCAAGGTCCACAGCCTTTCTTTTAGTCACAAAACGCTGTTAACTCTCTGCTGAATAATAGTACGTAAATGCATTTAACCTCTTATATTGTAAATGTACCTGTTTTGCACTGTTCATCATAACCATATTATTACTCTCGGCTTAAATTTAAGAACTGACCTACCGGAATGAAAACAAAGAAGTCTGGTTTAATGGAAAATTCAAGAAAAGCGAGTATGGATGGCAAACATACGAATGGCATTTGGGCCGAAGCATTGTCTCGGTATTCGTTAATTGGACGCAAACCGGTGAGATTCCTGCTGCCTGCAATTATGCTTGACATAAAAATAATGTGTTTAGAATTATTTCTTTCCTTCGTTATTCTGAAATCAATTGGATTTGC